ACCATCCCTTCCCTCTCCACATCCCCAACTCCTCCCTACCCCTCACACCAGTTGTAAAGTTTGTTTTCAACATAGTGTCTTGTACATCTCATTGTTTCAAAAAAAAATATGGAACGCTTCACGAATTTGCTTGTCATCCTTGTGCAGGGGCCATGCTAATCTTCTCTGTATCGTTCCAATTTTAGTATTTGTGCTGCTGAATCGAGCACTGAATCATTGTTAATCCACCCTTTTTTTTTTTAATTCCCCCTTATCTTTACCTTTGTATCTTTATTCTTGGGAATGATTTGATAGTCCAGAAAAAGTGGAATTCAGTTTAACAGTTTCGTTTTGTCAAATCTGAGTGATTTACCTATGGAATGGATCTGGTTAAACTTCCCATTTCCAATTCCTTCCCATTCCTTTATGTCGAACTTGATTTCTTTTTTTTTTTCTTTTTTTGGTACCAGTCCTGGGACTTGAACTCAGGGCCTGAGCACTGGCCCTGAGGTTCTGTGCTCAAGGCTAGTGCCCTACCACTTTGAGCTCCATGTCAGCTTTTTTTGGTGCTTAATTGGAGATATGTCTCATGAACTTTCCTGCCTGGGCTGGCAGGAATCTTTTTTTTTTTTTGTCAGTCATGGGGCTTGAACTCTGGGCCTGGGCACTGTCCCTCAGCTCTTCAGCTCAAAGCAAGTGCTCTACCACTTGAACAAAAGCACCACTTCCAGTTTTCTGAGTGGTTTATTGGAGATGATTCTCATGGCCTTTTCTGCCCCAGCTGGCTTTGAACCATGATCCTCAGATCTCAGCCTCCTGAGTAGCTAGGATTATAGGCACTGGCAGGAATCTTGATCCTGAGAACTCAACCTCCTGAGTAGCTAGGATTATAGGTGTAAGCCACTGACACCCAGCTTTGCTACCTTTTAAACTTTTATTTATTATTTTTATCTATTGACTAAGTTTCTGTGATTTGGGTGCTTCACTTCTGGACCTGGGCACTCTTAGCTTGCAGGTTAGTGCTCTACCACTTTAGCCACAGCTGGTGATAGAACCCTGGACAAGCCTACTGTCTTCAGAGATTGATTGATTGATTGATTGTCAGTCCTGGAGCTTGAACTCAGGGCCTGAGTGCTGTCCCTGAGCTTGTGTGCATAAGACTAGTGCTCTGCCACTTTGAGTCACAGCTCCACTTCCAATTTTCTGGTTGTAGATAAGAGCCATGGACTTTCCTACCCTCACTGGCTTCAAAATTTAGTCCTCACATCTCAGCCTCCTGAGTAGTTAGGGTTACAACTGTGAGGCACGGGTACCTGGCTTTTTTTTTTTTTTAATTTATTGTTGATTGTGGGACTTGAACTCAGGGCCTGGGTGCTGTCCTTGAGCTTTTACATCAAGGCTAATGCTCTACCACTACTTCAGTTTTCTGGTGGTTAACTGAAGATAAGAGCCTCATAGACTTTCATGCCCGGGCTGGCTTTGAACTGTGATCCTCAGATCTAGGATTACAAGTATGAGCCAGTACCTGGCTTCAGATTTTCATATCAGAAAGACTTCCCTTCCTCATCCTCTGCCCCTCATCACAATTATGAAACTCTTAATGAAAAGATACCTCTGCTTCATTTTAGGACATTATCTTGATCAGAAGAGGCTGAAACAAGGGCTTTATCGTCATCCATGGGATGATATTTCGTATGTTCTTCCGGAACACATGAGCATGTAACCAAGCCAGGAAGCCTTCTGCAGTAAGAAGACAAGACCTCCTCAAGAAATAGCATACACATAGCTGATTATGGAGCCTTCTATAGGATGGGTTAGGAACATAAATCGCCATTGGTGTACAGGCACCAAAGACCAACACCCACAGGCTAACATTCATTCAAAGCTTAATATTTTTTTTATAAGCATAGAAATAAAACCAAGCCAATACTTGTGACATTCGCTCTGCTCCCTGCTGTATTTATTATATGGATACCTCTAAGCACCATCAGAATAATGTTCTTCCTTGTAGGGTGTTATGATGTTGTTTTCTTTTTGCTACTAGTTGAACTTTTTTTTTTCTTCTTTGGAGGAAGGGAATGAAACTTTCAAGATTTTAATTACCTTATATGTCTAATTCTTTCAATGTCTTATTTTTCTGCTTCCCTTTTTCCTCCTCATACAACATGAAGAACATTGTATTAATCTGATTTGTAAGGATCTTTTTTTTTTAAGGTATATGTCAAGGGTTTGTTTAGGATCCCACTGGAATGTTCTGTGTTACAGATCACAGTCTGGCTATGTCAGGGGGTGAGACCATTGCATCCTTAGCCATTGTCACAAATATGTGGAATAGTAATTTAAAATGTAAAGTTGTAACATAGATGTGTTTTAGATGTAAACGCAAAGCAAAAAGCTGTGAAATGTCTTGTGTCTTATGTTCTCTGTATTTATGCAGCTGACTACTTGTCTGTTACTGAATTGTGGGATCAAAACACACCATCTCCACCTCTTTTGCATCTGTAACCCACAAAGATTCTGGGCAGCTGCCACCTCAGTCTTTTCTCTATTATCATATTTGGTTTAAATAAACTGTGTAGTAACAATGAAGGCATATTGCTGTCTCTATACCCTTCTGTATTCCTTTGTACTATACGTATGTGTGTGTGCCAGTCTTGGGGCTTGAGCTTCAGGGCTTGAATGCTATACCCGAGCATTTTTTGTTCAAGGCTAGTGCTCTACCACTTGAGCCACAGCTCTACTTCAGGCTTTTTTGGTGATTAATTGGAGATAAGGATCTTAAAGACTTTCTTGCCTGGGCTGGCTTTGAATTGCAATCTTCAGATTCAGCCTCCTGAATAGCTAGGAGCCATCATTGTCCCACTTATACTTTCTAATAGTTTAAGTTCCTGAAACTATTTTTTTTTTATGCTCCACCTCTTGAAACACAAAATAGAATTAAAGCCAGGTACCTCCTTATGAGGCTGAGATCTAAATATCACAATTTGAAACCAGGCCAGGCAGGAAAGTCTATGAGATTGAGATTCTTATTTCCAATTGATCACACACACACCTGAAAATGGAGCTGTGGCTCTAATGGTAGAGTGTCACCCTTGAGTGAAAAAGCTAAAGGACAGTGCCCAGGCCCTGAGTTCAAGCCCCAATACTAGCACCAAAATTTAAAAAAAAAAAGCTTCAAAAAAAATGGAAATGGGGGAGAGAAAGCCCACATCTATATCACTCCTTTCTTCTTTTTTTTTCTTTGGGGGGGGTCCAGTCGTGGGGCCTGAACTCTGGGCCTGGGCACTGTCCCTCAGCTCTTCAGCTCAAGGCTAGCACTCT